CCTGGTTAAGATATTTTTAAATTATGTTTACATTTTGATATTAGGCCTCCGAAGTCTAGGTCCCCATTCTTTCATTTCTTAGTTCTATTAACAGGGAAAATTTCTGCAATTTACTCATCTGTAAAATGGAGATAATATTACCCATTCATCCAATTATGTTTATTCCCTTGTATTATAAAGTGACTATGATGTGCCAGGCACTGGTTTAGATCCACTAAATGTAACTACTACTATGACTAAACTAGCTCAAGATAAATTCTTTTTTTTTGCAACTAAGATTCTTAATCCATACAAAAATTGGTACAAGCAATGGTGTCTTCAGTAAAAGAGCTTCAGAAAAAACATGGAACTAGTGGAGTTAAGTAGGGAGGAGATGAATGGGGACTTCCCCAACCTGGGGACATTGCTTGGCAGTCCTCATTGGGATCAGAAGAGGAAGAGCAGGTCTGAAGGAATGGTAATGAGTTCAGTTTTGGATATATTACAAATGAAGTGCCTGAGGACAGACAACTGAATATTTTCCCCTGGAGTTTCTGAGAGGTCTGGGCTGAAAATGGAATTGGAAATCATTGGCATACAGATACTAGTTACAACCATAAAAGTGGATGAAATTAGTTAGACAGAGTTCACAGAGTACAAAGCAAAAATGGTTGAGGACCACACATTTAAAGCTTGAGAAAAAGATTGCTAGCAACAAAAGTGGAGGGGATGCAATGCAAAGGAACACCTGAAGAGAGTGGTGGTGTTAGTCAATGGTCAGAATGACCCGTGGTGGGTTTGAACTTCATCAGTTTAGCTAAACGGGAATTAATTTCCCAGAATTCCTTTCTCTGTATGGTTTCATGTTACAGTTGGCCAACAAGAGAAATTTGTGTGAGATTTGGGAGGAGAAAATGAGGCAGTGAAGACCTCTAGTTAGTGGTTTTGAGGGATAGACACAGAGGTTGAGGGGAGGAGGTCCGGTTTGTCCTCACTGAAGAAAAGATGAAAAATAGGGAGATAAGTCAGTCAGATAAGTATTATTTGGTCCTGCAAAGGCTTTTGTGGGGTCACACACTACTCAGAGGAATCCACCTAGTCTTCAATACAGAAACATAAGTATCATCTTACATTAGAATAGACCATAAGCTCTCAAGCAGAGACTACACCCTGTTGTACCCCAAGTGCCCAACACAGTTACTGGCACATAGTATTAAACAAAGGATTTGTTAAATAAATAAATTCATTCTACCCCACACATTCCTGGCCAATATTATAGGGGCTAAGAACTCTACCATGGTGATAAGCTTGCCATGCAGTATCTCCTCCCAAGTATTTATTAATTATAAAGGAAAAAACAGCTAATTTCACAGTAGAGAGACCTGGTTGACACCTTAACTAAGAGATCAAGGCTAACATCACCACTTATTATATCACCATCAAATACCTCCTGATATGATGTGCTGGGAAGGGCGCTTCACCTCAGTGGTATTCTTTTAAAAATTCATAAGCTCAATATAATCATAAGAAAACACCAGATGAACCCAAATTGAGGGACAGTCTACAAAATACCTGACCAGAACTCTTCAAACATGTCAAGGTCATGAAAGATAAGGAAAGACTAAGAAAACTGTTACAATCAGAGGAGACTCAGGAGACATAACAACTAAATGCCATGTCGTATCCTGGACTGGATCCTAGAAAAAGGATATTACTAGAAAAACTGGTGAAATCCTAATAAAATTCTGTACTTTCATTAATAGTATTTTATCCATGTTAATTTATTGGTTTTGATTATTATATCATGGTTATATAAGATGTCATATTAGAGAAAGCTGGATAACAGGTACATAGGAACTATCTTTGCAACTCCTGTGTGAGTCTCAAATTATTTTTTTCTCTCATTTTTTTTTTTTTTTTTTGAGGAAGATTAGCTCTGAGCTAACTACTGCCCGTCCTCCTCTTTTTGCTGAGGAAGCCTGGCCCTGAGCTAACATCCGTGCCCATCTTCCTCTACTTTATGTGTGGGACGCCTACCACAGCATGGCATGCCAAGCGGTGCCATGTCCACACCCAGGATCCGAACCGGCGAACCCCAGGCCACTAAGAAGCAGAACATGCGAACTTAACCGCTGCGCCACTAGGCCGGCCCCTCAAATTATTTCAAAATAAAAAGTTAAAAATATTCATCTCACCCTACATCACCTGAATAGGAAAAATACAAATGTAAATATTGCAAGGATTTCTGCTTGTCATGGTGAAAAACAGAACTCTCTCCAAAAGTGGCATTAAAAAAGACTTACATTCACACACTGAATAGTTTTTCTGTCCTCAAAACTGAACATCATGGCTGGCATATAGAGGATGTTAAAACTTTTGTTAAAAGAAGAAGTGAGTCCCTTTTTGGACCTTAGGGGTCTGCCAGACAAGTGCAGGGTCTCAAGAAATGAAGAGAACGAGATCCAGGGATTCTCTGAGGTTTTAGACCTTAGGGAGTAAAAGAAGTAAGTAAAATTTTTTAAAAATTTAACTTTTATATTAAATTTAATAACAGTGACAACATATGGACAAATTATAATAAAGCAAAATTAATATAGATTCATAACCAGTAATCCATGTTGAACATCAAAAAATAAAAGGCTAAGTTATTATGGTAACTGTATTATTATGGTAATACAGTAGGTAGAAACTGTACTGTTACAAAATTTCTTTTTCCTTCTTGCATTATTTTTATATATTCTATGCTATAATAAAACAAATATTAATTTTTTTGCTTCCAAGTGGGAACACATTGGTTTAAGTTCCAGTACAGTCTTTGAAGATGTAAGTAATAATTGGAGAACAAAGAGGAAAATTACATCCCAAAATAAAAGCTTAATACAAAACGTATGTGAAAAAATTTAAATTTAGTTATAGCACGACAATATCTAAATCCTAACTTCACTTTCAAAATGCTCTTGAGGAACTCTCAGAGTTACCTGGCTCTTCCTCGACTTAAGAATGGTGCTGAAACCTTTAGCAAGGATACTCAGTCACGGCAAGGATAAAAAGGAAGTTGGAGGAGTAATGGAGATATTGCCAATGGGGTTTGAGCCTTAGACTTTAGAATATTTGTATTTAGTCAGAAAAGGTTCTGTTTATTCATTTTGTTTTTGAGCAGCTATTACCACATAGCTCTGGGCTGCTGGAAGGACAATTTAGGGGAAAAAATAGGAGGAAATAAAATCACTGACTTAATGGAAGTTGTTTAGTATCTGGTGATCTTATGAGGAACGAGTTAGGATGGCAGGGATTACTGTCTTGTTCATTCATTGATGTATCCAAAAGCCTAGAAGAGCGCCTGGAACATAGGAACTCAACAAATATTTATTGAATAAACTTCCATTCCAGTAGCACTGAAACCAGATCATTTTTATTAAGGAAGGAGTTAAAGAACAGGTAGTGTGCATAGACCATTCATTTGTGAAGGTCAGCTATAGAAATCCCGGAAGGGATCAATCATCGAACACCTATAAAGCAGTTTGAAACTTTAACATATGTAACATCTGATTCAATACGTAACACTTGAATTCAACTCAAGGTGCATATATAACGCCTGATTCAATAGGCCCTGAGGATGGGATTCTGCACTTCTAACAAGTTGCCAGATGAAGCCAATTCTGCTGGTGCTCAGACCACACTTTAAGCAAAGCTACTCAAACAACATCTATGTTGTAGAAAGCATATGTAAGATTTATTAAATAATGCTTCCTTTCTCAGTTTTATTATGTTTACTGTATTCTGATTGCCAGGTTCAATGGATGCTCCAATCCAGATCTTAACTGGACCATTCCTTTCTTGAAATTCCATGTTGGCTCTAGGGACATTACCCTGGAGTGATTATCCTCCTGTCTCTTCAGCTCTTCCCTCTCAGGCGTCTTTGCTGCCTCCTCTTCCTCCTCCTAGCCCTTATATGTTCCTGTTTCCCAGGTATCTGTCTCCAGCTCCTTTTTCTTTTATTTGTACTTAATGGAAATCCTTTGTTATCTCTAATTCTAGTTGATTCCTTTGGGGTGTCTAGGTATATAATTGTGCCTAAAAATATTATTTTTTATTTCTTTCCAAATATTTATGCCATATTTCTTGTGATAGGATTTTTAATACAATACTATATATTGACATTTATTTTTAAAACATTTTTATTTTGTTCCTCATTTTATGAGGAATGACTAAAATGCTGTTTCTTGAAACATAACATTCGTTCTTGGTTCTAGATCTTACCTCATTTTAAAATTGAGCTATAACTCAACATAAAATTCGCCATTCTAAAGTACACAATTCAGTGGTTTTTATGTTAAGCACTCAATAAGTGAGAGAATTTTTAATAACAAACACTTCTAAAGACTTGAGTCACCCAACAATGGAGTGGGATTCCTTCTAGATAATAAATGCCTAGTAACCAGAAATATTAAGCATCAGCTGGATAATCCCCCTTTATGTTCTAAAAGGTACTCCTGTTTTGATGAGAGATAGATTAACTCTGAGGTCCCTCCTAACACTAAACATCTGTGGGACACTTACTGATTTGAACACTTCTACAGAGTGGAATCACCGCCCTGAGCAATGGCAAGTAAATGGAATAAAAGGACTCTCTTTTGGCCCAGAAACAGGCAAAAGTAATGTTTGATTAAAGTTAATGGTGCACAGGATAAGCAACATTCATAGAGTAGGCAATGGAAACAACAGTTCTTAGATAATTACACTAACAGCTCCTGGGATCTCCTTACTGACACTCCCCCCGACCCCCCGCCCAGAGGCCTGTATCCACCAGGGAGAGAAAGGGTGAAATTAGGAATTTAACAGGAAGTAGAGGTTGCAGGAAAAGTGGGCGCTATAGTGACAAAGTCAAGGAAAGAGTCAGACTCAGGAGCTGTGGAAAGGGTAGAAAGCCAAGGAACACAGGCCCCACTGGCACGTGAACTAAATTTTCCTCTGACTTGACACCTTTCAGTATCCCCTATGTCTTAGAGACAGACCACTGAGCAATTATCAGCAGTATTTATTAGACATTTATACTTTGAATTCTCCATTTCCACCTATTCCTTTCATTATCTTTTGCCAAAGATATCGAAGTCATCCATTGTCGGTTTTACTTGTCTTCAAAGTTCATCAGTGCCTGCACTGTAAAGAAACAGACTGTGAGGCTGGAGAGCTAAGAATACGCAGAACACACAAATGTTTGGTGAAGACCCTGCTTTTCTGGGTTCTAGGTGCCCACACAAATTTTTACTTTAAATTAAGCCATATGAGTCTGTACTCGTTGCCATAGACGAATTAATCAGGATTGAAGAAGCCACCTCGCAACCTTCCCCCTCTCGCTTTGTTCTTCTGAGAGAGCAAGTGGGAAGGCAGGGCGAAGACAACTGGAAAGAGCAGGATTGACCTTAGGCAACATTTTGAAGTAAGCAAAGTCCGTCTTTGACATCCTGCTCTAAATTCCATGTTCCATTGTTATAAATTCCTCTTATTGCCCTACTTTGCCCACAACACACACATACCTCTTGCCTAATTGCTTTTTTCACATTGAGTTGATTTCAACTAGGTATGAGGAAGATAACGCTAATTAGTATTAAATTGTAAAAAATGGCACCTAACTCTCTAGCTTTTGTATTTTTAAAAGAAAATTTATTAATCCAAATTAATCTCCAGGTGGTGAAATTGCAAGTGAGAAATTTAGCGAAAATAATTTTGAGCAGGTAGTTCTCCACTTAAATCAAACTCTCTTATTTAAATCACATACTTCTCTCTGCCTAGGCTTACACTAGAAGGGACTGAAAGGAAGAGAAGTCTATAATTCATAAACTCCCTTTTGGGAGTTGGAGGCAGTAGGCACTTGTGGGCTTTCTGCTCACTGTCTTAATCCCCACAGCTATCCAACTTGAGTCTGTGGCCCTACTGCTCAGCTGAAATGTGACCTTCCAAGAGAAGAAACATGTACAAAATGGGGTGGGCTGCCCAAATTGATCAAGAGCCCACCTTGTCCTAATTCCCAACAACTGGAATTGAACACTCTCCTCTAGGGAGACAAGCTCTTAGACCTCACAGGATTTAGGTGTCTTCTACTGGAGAAGCCGAGTTGTCAGGTTCTCTTTAGGTTAGAATAAATCAGGACGTATGCCCAGAATGTGACATGCCAAACCAAGGATTTGCCTTTTTCAGGTGTGAGGTGGAAGTTCAGAGGCTGAGATGCCAAAATAGGGGACATCCACATCCTTCTCCCCAGTTATATATGCTACTCCAATTTACTTAACTCCTGGTCCCCACAATTGCCCTAAATCCATACCTGCAAACTCTTGCAACCGCTTACGCTCCTCCAGGTTATACTGAAGCTTTTCTAGCAACTCAAAATATCGGAAGAGTGAATCTCTAGGCCAAACAACACGTTCATCCTGATCCATATCCATTAGCCCAGGCAGATTCTGGTGCACATGAGTCTCCCAGTCCAAATGACCTGGAGGGAGGAATGCTTCTTAAAAACATATCTAGATTCATGGAAGTTGGGTAAGAGCTGATAAATCCTATGGTATGGAGGGAAAGCAAGAATGAAAGAGGAAGCAGGGAGAGGAAAGGGTGCATCACCAAGAGACCACTTTCTACAATAAGCAAAGACAGCCACAGCCACACTTACCCAAAATTAAGCAGAAGTACAGGGGAAATGAAGAAGCACAAAGAAAGTAATTGAGACCAGAAAATCAGACTGGTGGAAAAGCTTGGGAAGTAGATATAGTTGGAGAGCCCCTATTAAAATTGGGATGTCTCCTAGAGAAGAGTAATCTGAATTCAGATGGAAGAAACCCTCACTTACCAAGAGAGTCAAAATATCTGGAGTCAGAAGAGGCGGAGCAGGAAGATGAAGTTGAGGAAGAGGAAGAGGAAGAAGAAGATGAGGACTTTTTCATTTTTGACAAGGACTCTTTTGTTTTTGAACCCTCTTCAGTGGCAGCGTATTTAGACTTTTCTTGAGAAGCTTCTGATAAGACCAAAGATTCCTCTTGTTGACTGGCATCTCTGTAAGTGAAAGGAGAAATTTTATTGCTCCAAATACATTTACAAGATATGGCTAGTTCTTTCATTATTCTGGCCCTGGCCATCCCCTTAGTCTGGGACTTAAGGCAATGAGGGCCAAACTACTTCCAAAATCTGAGCTTAAGTACTTCCAACCTCAATTATTCCATGTAATTTATCCCTGTTAGTGCCACTCTGGTCTGAGCTATCATCACTTCTTGCCTGGACAGCAGTATAGCCTCCTAACTCATCTCTCTGCTCCCTCCCTTGTTCTTCTACAGTCTCTCGTCAACACAGCAACCAGAGTAATCCTTCTTAAATGTAAGTCATTTCACGTCACTACTTTGCTTTGCTCCCCATTTCACTCAGAGTCAAAGCCTAAGTCCCTACAACGACCCTCAGGGCCCTACAGGATTGGATCCCCATTATCTCTCTAACCTCTGATCTCCTAACACTCTTCCCTCTGCTCCAGTCACAATGGCTTCCTTATTATTTCTCAAACACATCAGGCATCTTTCTGGCTTAGGACCTTTGTACTAGCTGTTCCCTCTACCTATAACACTCTTCCCATAGATATCCACATAGTAATCCCCTCACCTCCTCCAAGTCTTTGGTCAAAGGTTACCTTTTCAATTAGACCTAACTTGTTTAAAATTACAACCCATCTGCAACCCTACCCTATACTCCAATCCCCCTTAACCTGTTTCACTTTTTATTTTTTCATGCTTGTCATATTTTAATACATTAATTTACTTTATTTAATATGTTCATTGTTTATTGTCTCTTTCCCCCTACGAGAATGTAAGCTCCATGACAGCAGGCATTATTATTGTCTGTTTTGTTCACTGATCTATCCCAAGCACCTAATAAGTATTCAATAATTATTTGCTGAATAGATGAATGAGTTTCTTGTTTCTCCTCCTGCTCTCTTGTCCACTGCTGAACACTCATGGTCCAGAATAGCATCTGTTTCATAGAAGGTGCTTGTATTCGTTTCTTGTGGCTGCTGTAACAAGTTACCGCAAGCTTTGTAGCTTAAACCAACAGAAATTTATTCTGTCACAATTCTGGAAGCCAGAAGTCTGAAATCAAGGTGTTGGCTAGGCCATACTCCCTCTAGAAGCTCTAAGGAAGAAAGTTCCTTGTTTCTTCTAGCTTCTGGCAGTTGCCTGGCATTCATTGGCTTCCTTTGGCTTGTGGTTGCATCACTCCAATCTCTATCTCCATCTTCACATCTCTTTGTCCTATTCTCTACGTCTATGTCTTCTCCTCTTCTGTCTCTTACAAGGGCCCTTGGCACTGGATGTAAGGCCTACCTGGATAATCCAGGATGATTATATCTCAAGATCCTTAACTTAATTGCATCTTCAAAGACCCTTTTTCCAAATAAGGTCATGTTCACAGGTTCCAGGGGGTTAGGTACGGACTTATCTTTTGGGGGGCCACCATTCAACCCACTATAATAAATAATTATTGAATGAAGGAATTCTCTCTCAAAGCCAATCTTCATCTTTAATTTTCTACCCTCTCCTCCTTCATGTTTGTCCATTCCAGTTTACATATACATGTCTAACCTGGCATCAATTTTGCTAAGGCTTGACCTCAGTGTCTCAGGGTACAGGTTTTGCCTCCTGCAAAGCAAAAAACACAAAAGAGTGAAGAGAGTTATACTGAAGCAGAAGTGTAGTAAGGAAAAAAGAAAAGAATTTAGATCGGAAAGTGAAGAAAACTGAATGAGGAAAACAAACCGTAGTAAAGGGGTGAAAAAGAGCAGGGAAGCCCAGACAGTGTGGTAAAGGATCAGGCAATATTCTAGAGCTGGGGAATTCTAACCCTGGGCAAATCTTCCGTCACAAAGGGAGAAATGGGGTCAAGGCAAAGGAGTAGAAACAGGGAATGAGGTCAGGAAACCCTTGAGAACTAAAGTTGGGTTTGAAAATGGGGAAGCAGACCTCTGGATAATCTGCCGCTTGAATATGTCGGCTTTGTGCTGAACCTCCAGATGCGTCATCTCCTCATTCAGCTCATTCCTGATATTCTGAAAGTTAGTAACTGCCCCAAAGGGCCATTAGGAGTTGGGAGATGATGGTGACTAGACCTGGGGAGAGGGCTTAGGGGAGATACCAAGTGAAATATCCATCCCGGGCCCCAATCCTCCCTACTACATCAGGTTCTCTCTGTCCATAATCCACCAATTCTAGCTTTCATTCTAATTTCTTTCCAAACACCCCTCCCACAAGGTTTCACCTCTTCTATGCTTACCCATCATGGCCACTATGATATTTCGAAAGATAATGGAACCAAGTAACAACCAAAGAATGACATAGATGCTGCTGAAGGTACGGCTGACTTCAGGCACTTTCCAGGTATCCTGAAGCAGTGCATACCAATGATCCATGGTGAAGAGAATGAATACTGTCACTAGGGAATTCAGCAGGTCTCTAAAGGAAAAGGAGGTGTGTGTATAGATAGAAGAGAGATCTAAACCTCTCAGAAACAGTATCATTCTTACTCTTAAAGCAACATAAGAGCATTTCTTTGTAGTTTCCTCTGACTTTGGTTCCTTTTCTACCATAACCATAGCCAACTTTTCAGCTAATCATTCTTCAGTTTGAGGTTGTTTTATTAGGTTTTCCTTTATCATGAATATCTCTCACTATTTCATTGGTACCTGGGGCATAGTAGGTACTCAATAAATAGGTACCAACTGAATTTTTAAAAATTGAATCAATCAACAACTATGTATCATTTTTTATAAGTTCATTCTCCACTGTTCTATGGACTTCACCTAACAGAAGATCACTCAAAAATTTAGAAAACATCATTCCTATTTAGTTTGCTGGTATGAACTGATAGTCAAGTAAATGAATGGATGTGTGACATAAACATGTGATCCCAAACAATGAATGATAATGAATATATCACAAAAGTTCTCAGGAAGGTATCTAAATTTTCCTTCTTTCATTCTTAGCCCTCCATACACAATTTATTGAAAACATTAGGACCTGAATAGGATGAATTCTGGGACTTTCCTAACTCAATATTCTCATAAAACTACCTGTTAGTCTAAGAGAGACCTGACAGGTGCTGACAAGATTGGATTCCAACTCACAAATAACATTATCTCCTCTAAATCCAAAATCACTTTCTATTAGTAATCAGTTCTCTAGAAAGAGCTTAACAGGATTTTACTTTTGAATGAGTACAGGTGTATGCATGTGTAATCCCCACACTGAGAGATGGGAGTAAAACCAGTGACCATGTCTGAGAGTCATAGTAACATTTATCGATCACTTACAACGTGTTAAGTACTGTGCTAAGTGCTTAAATGCATTACCTCATTCATCTCTATATTCTAATGAGGTAGTACTACTATTATTCTCATTTTTCAAAAGAGGTAACTAAGGCACAGAAATGAGGGCTTAACCACTGGCATATACTGTTATTTAAAGATGGCTGATGAAGGTGTGCTTGAATTTGCGAAAGCCAGAGCAAACTTGGAACTAGCTGCTCTATCCTCAAAATTAGATGTAATACCTCTCACTACCCCTTTGCTGTCTCCTTCTCTTTCCTTACTGTGTTCCATTCCTGTATCTCACAATAGACTACACTTTTTGCATTACTATACATTAGACCAGCTCCCCAGTCTTTTGCCCCAGTACTCTCCCCCCACCCAGGCTTCCCCCAGTCCTGCCTACGAGAAGAACATGCGGTACTCCAGGTCCTGGCGAGTTGAACGGGTGTAATGCTCGAAGAAGTAGACACCAGTCACAGCAAAAATGTAGAAGAAGATGAGCAGCAACATCAAGAGGAAGGTCATGCTCTAGAGGCCATGACCTTGAGTCAGAGCTGGGCCAGACTAGGCAGATTTCCACCTACAGCCCAGTCAAGCCCACCCTGGCAATTCCCCCCCAAACCCTCACTTCCACTCCTGAGCCCAGGCATCTCCAGGCCACAGCTGCTTGTCCCCAGCCCTTTCTCACCCAATAACATTTCACAGTCTTTCATTCCCTTCTTTGACCCACCTAAACTTGTTTTGTGTTAAATCCCCATGTTTATCCACCTTGCCCACCTGGTTTAGCTACAACAGTCAAATCACCTTGAGGGCCCTGACCAGGGCCAAAATAATGACTCGAATTTGACGGAATCGTGCAAAGAGTTTGAGAGACCTTAGCACACGGCAGATCCTCAGCAACTGGAGCCATACAGACTGGCCTGTAACCCCCACCAGCACCACAACCTCAGGAAGCAGGGACTGTGGGAAACACACAGATTATGAGTAAAATATACCCCTAAGCACCCACACACAGTTGTTCTTTCTTGATCTCATCTTCTTCAGAGTTCCTTGGGCATTATCCCTGGAATAGCATTCTCTGGGGATTGTTTCCTATTCTACCTTTCTACACTAAATTAGTTAAACTCTCTATTTCAACTTGCTCAGACATAAACAAAGGGGGGGGGGGGAATACCTTGCTTATCTCATTGGGTTATTGTATAGCTCAAATAAGAAAATACATGTAAAACACTTAGAACAGTACCTGGCACTTAGTAATGCTTAGTAACTGATAGATGTTATTGTTGGGGTTAACGTTGTGCTTAGATTCTGCCTTGCTCCTAATACCAATAACTCCTGCAATGACTGACTTTTAGCTTTACGAAAAAAATCAAAATAAGGAAGTTAGGTACATTTTTATTTTTGGTTCTTCCTGTGATATAATTATCTTTTCTTGTCATTTTGATTCACGTAGGCACATTCTTCAGCCCACTAAACTAATCCTCAGGCTATCTATCCTTACCAATATGGTGACAACAAAGTCAAAGACATTCCAGGCATTCTTCCAGAAGAGGAAAAAGCTGGATAGCCACATCAGAAGGATCTCCAAGATGAAAACAAGCAAGATGAACCAAGCTGCCACCTCCAGAGTCAGCTTCAGTGGCCACAGTTTGGTATTTGAGGATTCAAGCAATTCTGTGAGAGTAAAACAAAGGCTGAATAAAGGTTAGGAAGTGGGAAGACGAATGATAGAGAATGATCAGAAACTTATAAACCACAGTTGTGCCCACTGTTATTCCATTTTTCGAGTTTCTCTTCTTATCACTGTTGTTGCTTCAGCCTGTGAAATACAGAGGAGGACAGAATCAAACGTGAAAAATAGCTGTGACTCATCTCCTGCTGGTATTGGTATGTCTAACAGCTGCAAGTCACCACCTTCCCACTCTGGAGTCACATAGCCACCATGGGATTGCTTTCTTAACTACCACCAACCCTGTCTGCTGTACTGTTACCCATGACCCAAACTTCACAACGAAGCAACGGGCCTTGAGAATAGAATGAAAATGTAGGGCCATAGTATCTAAAGTGCTTTATAAGAAATGTAGAAACAAGAAGCCAGATCCATGGGGCATATTGAGTTACCAACCAAGAAATTATTTGGTTGTTTATTTGTTAGTTTTTAAAACTTTCCCTTTCTTCTCTGCCTAAAACTGATTTTGTTCTGCAAAGCAAATTGAATCCTATACTACCCTCTAGAATCCTATTATTTGCTAATTGCTATTTCTTAATTTATTGCCTTCATCTTTCAACCCTCTTCATTTCTTTTACACATTTAATAGATATATACTATGCTGTAGAAAAAAATATTGAGATCAAGATAGGCTTAAAAACTAAATAATAATTTAATATGTTTCTCTTTGAAATAGAACAATCCAAGAGTCTCCAAATGTACTATGACTGATATGTTTGGCAGTTAATAAGATCACAAGAGCATACTCAATCACCCTGAAAAATACAAACTGCTATTTAGGTTTTGACACTTACACAGTTGTGTTTTGTTTTTGTTTTTGTTTTTTTTTGAGGAAGATTAGCCCTGAGCTAACTACTGCCAGTCCTCCTCTTTTTGCTGAGGAAGCCTGGCCCTGAGCTGACATCCATGCCCATCTTCCTTTACTTTATATGTGGGACGCCTACCACAGCATGGCGTGCCAAGCAGTGCCATGTGCGGCCCCCGGATCTGAACTGGCGAACCCCAGGGCCCCCGAAGCTGAACGTACGCACTTAACCGCTCCGCCACCAGGCCAGCCCGACACTTACACAGTTTTAAATTGTTATTGTTTTTAGTAATATTTTGGCTTATTATATTCCTAATGAAGTAAGGAACACTGATGTTGAAATACAACTTCATGAAGAGTATAAGAAGAATTCTGCAAGTTTATCTCAAGATGATCTTCATCAGATTCTATAAAGTGCATGCATCTGATCAAAAGTTTGATATAGCATATCAAGATAGCTCTAGAACCTCAAAAATATAATAGATAATGTTATACTCAGCTTTTGTTGGAAATAAGGACTATTTCCACTTGCAATGTGTTATTTTCAGAGAAAGGCTTACAAATAAGCCAAATTTTCTTTCTTTTCTCTCTCTTGTCATTTAGAAACAAAATATGAAAATTATAAAAATAAGCCAATTGATGTTTAAAGTGCAAAGTAGAATTACCAATATCATTGTGATAATAGATTTTTCTATTTTTTATGCCCCAACACATAATTAAATTTCCAACTACACTTTAACATATAATATATAACATGTATTTAACATATAATACATAATGTTGTAAACTGGAAACTAATATAATGTTATATGTCAATTATATCTGAATTTTTTAAAAGGAACAAAAAAATTAAATTAAAAAAACATATAATACATAAATATATTTGACCCCAAAACCAAACTTAATATATAATGTCATTTAAAAATTCATTTGTAGACAAAACATATATTTTCTTTAAAAACAGCATGAACCACTTATAAATGGCAAAAGTGAAAATTTGCTCACATAGTATGATTATTAAAATTATATAATAATAAACATTAAAATACAATTTTTTTTTTTGGAGGAAGATTAGCCCTGAGCTAACTACTGCCAATCCTCCTCTTTTTGCTGAGAAAGACTGGCCCTGAGCTAACAGCCATACCCCCAAAATACAATATTTAATAATATGCTAGTCTCAAATATTATTTTTACTTTAACTTGCTTCTTTATATCACATAATAATAATGAAATGATTAAAACTCCTAAGGAGGTTTTCAAGAATATATATGTATTACTGGGAAACAAAATCACAATAAAAAAGACTGGGGAGCTTTGATCTAGAGAAGTTTGTTAATTACTATTTTTTTCCCTATCTATAACAACATTCTTTGTGATCTGGAAAAATTGTTTTAAAAGCCTAAATAAAGTCTTAATGCTTAGCATATGAATTATTCTGTTCAAAGAAATCTGTTAGTCACAAATTATTTCGCTTTGCAAAATCCCTCCTGCCTTTCTACCTGGAGAACGTACTTAATAAGATACAACTTCCATGAACTTGCCACATAATTCCTACTTGGGCAATCTACCAGTCCTCTGGCAGTGATCATGTTTCATACTTGACTGTTTTACCAAACAGAATGGTTAGTGCTATTCTATTTTGATTTGTCCATTACAGCCAGGAAATCCTGTATATTTACTGCTATTTACTTTACTCCAAAGCTTAAGACTATATCCCTAACCTCATAAGGCAAATATGTGCTGGTTATTATACAAGAAATAGGAAACGTGGGTGCCTGAGTTCAAAATCCTCACCTCTACGGGGAGGAAATAAAACACTTCAAAGAATATAGTATACTGTAGTGGGTCAATTACATGAATTACTGTTTATTTAAATATCTTTGACCTGATTACATTAAAAGACTATTTTAAAGTGAGAAAATTCCCTAAAACAGTGAGGATGAAATAAGGGAGTGAGTACCTCTACTACCCTTTCATCATTTCTGAGCAGTTTGTTTGAGATGATAATCAAGTGAGCTCACTGATTCTCCAGGTGTTCTTTTGGTTTTTTTGTTTTGTTTTGTTTTTTAAAGATTGGCACCTGTGCTAACAACTGTTGCCAATCTTTTTTTTTTTTTTTTGCTTTTTTCCCCCCAAATTCCCCCAGTACGTACTTGTATATTTTAGTTGTGGGTCCTTCTAGTTGCGGCATGTGGGACGCCGCCTCAGCATGGCCTGACAAGCGGTGCCATGTCCCCGCCCAGGATCCGAACCAGGGAAACCCTGGGCCACCGAATCGGAGGGCGAGAACTTAACCACTCGGCCACAGAGCTGATCCCCAAGAATCATTTACCCTTTAAGTCATTTTCTGGCTGATCTAATATCTTAGTTGTACCTAACTTTACATACTTTGTGAGCTTTCTTATTCCTAAATACTCTTTCTAAACATTCTTGTAAAAATGCAAATGTTGGATCACTCACTGATAGGCACCAATATCTTGAATAAAAAAGGTTAATTCAAACAAATATTAGACTAAACTGACACAAGAAATTATAACTGGTCTTCCCATCTCCAGTTCCCTGTGAGACTATTACACCCTACCTCTAAGTGTCTAGACCACCTTATATCTACTACCCTCTCCAGAACCCTCCAAATATTTCTAGGTCTTAGCAGTTGCAAAAATCCTACTCCAGGAGACAATATAATTGTCCCTATTATAATTCAAATAACGTTCAAAAACGTAAAATGATCAATTTAAAGGAAAAATGAGTCCCATCCGCCTCCTCTTTCATTCAATGTCAGTTCTCACCTATTTCAACCATCAGGACAATCGTATTCAAAAAGATAAGGAAGATGATGAAGTTTGTGAAGAGAGGACCTATTTTCTCTTAAGGAAACATACAGAGTGGAGTTCTTTCTGATTTATGTAGGTGAAATAATAAGGGCAAGAACAGAACCAGTGAGAATGAGAAGAAAATGGAGTTTGGAAAGGGAAAAAAAGTCACTAGGCAGATGATGATGCAAGAGAGACAGTAAAGCCACAAATGAGTGGCATGAAAGGATACGCTCAATGACCCATCCAGCCCACAAAGAAAGAGGTGGCCTCTCACTGTAGCGCACGCAAAGGCTGCTCATCAGCCTCTGGCTGTGTGTAATCCGTTCTACATGACGAGGCTTTATGGAGAAGCGCACAAGCTGGTGTTGATCTCCCAACATAAGTTTCTTCTGACGAGAAGGATCTACACCAAAACCAAAAAAAGGGACAGTGGATAAATATAAAGAGAAGTCTTTGGGGGAGATGAAGAGCAGGTAGGACTGGGGACAGGGCTATTGGTTACATAATGGACCCCTTGGTGCAGGGACTTGCCTGCTGTTCCTTCTCACAGCAATTAATAATAGTTTGGAGTAAGAGCCAGTGTATTGCTTATGACCAACACTGTCCATGCCCAAGAATAAAGGCAACAGGTTCAACCCTCAAGTTTTAGTGTCTTTGGTAGAAACTTCCAAGTCAGCCAGGGCTAGTAGTTATCCCAGGCCTAAAAGTGAGTCAAACGGGTTCTATCTCCTGGATTCAAAGTGTTTTATTAACAAAGCCTCCGATTTACCAAGTTTGGTGTAACCTCCAAATTAGCAACCAAACCAATCTCCCCTGGATTTTCCACCCTTAAAACTGTCTGCTTCCCACTCTTTGGAGGGTGTGGATAGGAGTCTTAAATTTATCTTAGTGAAGAAACAGGCTGCCGACCAAGTATTTCTCGGATAGTGTGCCGTGGCACAGCCTGGCTCAAGCCTTGCAGATGCTCGATGAGAGAGAAAGTATCAATGAGACGTGAACGAATAGCATCAGCTCGGGGCAGTTGCATGTGTCCCGCTTGGTGATAAGTGGCCATGTCTGTTAAAAAAAATGGAAGAATCAAGTGTCATTTCTTTCTTGGAATTGCCCAAGGATTAGAGGTTTTCTTTCCCTCCTCCTACCCTTTTTGCCCTTAAGAAGACAAACACATTGTACTAAGACTCAAAGTTTTTTTAAACAAAAGGAGATACGAGTCGTAAGAGGGATACTGCACAGTGGACTAAGTGGCCAGGCACCTTCACTTGCGTGACAGCATTTCTATTTAAAAGCAGTAGCCACAAGGGCAGGAGCCCTGGGGCTGGACAAAGAGGAATTCGGGCACCATCTGGACCTGAGCGAATCAGGCAACGCAGTGAAGTGGTACTGGGAGGGCTCAGGGCTGCTCCCGAAAGAAAAAACAAGATAAAAGGAATTGGACAAAACGCAACAGTCTGACAGTTTGAAAAAAAAATGTGTCCCTTCCCGAGCGTCGACCTCAACACTCCCTCGGGTTCCAGCTCCTTCTCTCAATTCCCGCCCCTGCCTCACCTCAGCCCAGGCTCGCTTCCGCCCACTCAGCCCTGACTTCACTCCTCCGCCCCCGGCTCTGGCGCCCCCTGTGTCCGGCTCTCCTCTCGCAGGGCGAGCTCAGGGTCGGCTCCCGGCCGCGCTGCGGCCCATTTCCAGCTCCGCCCCGCCGCCCCCCAGGTTCCGCTCACGGCGGCCCAGGTCCCCTCCCGGCCCCGCTCGCCGCCTCGGCCCCGCCCCGCACTCCGGCCACTCGGCGGTTACCAGCTGGTCCCGCCCGCCCGACGCAGGCGCCTCGCAGCCAATCGGCGGCTGCCACACTGCGGCCCGAGCCGGGCTGGGGGTTGGGACCTCCGGGTGCAGGTCCGCCTGGGCCAGACGCGCAGGCAGAGCGTGCGTGGTCGCCGGCCCGGCTTCCGCAGTCCCCGCCGAGCCCCGACCCTCCTGGCCGCCCCCGCCTCACCTCGCCGCCATGCACCTCCGCCGCCTAGCGCTGCTCCCGGGCGTGGCGCTGCTCCTCGCCGCCGCCCGCCTCGCCGCTGCCTCCGACGTGCTGGAACTCACGGACGACAACTTCGAGAGTCGCATCTCTGACACGGGCTCTGCGGGCCTCATGCTCGTCGAGTTCTTCGCCCCCTGGTGAGGCCACTAAGCCCGGGCGGGGGAGGAAGGGCCAGGCTGGGGCGAAGGCGCGGGAACTGTTGGGCCTACGCAGCGCGGGTGCCTTCCACCATTCCTGCGGGCCCGGCTGCGGCCGGCAGATTCCCATCCCGGGGGAGCCAGGCCACCGCGCTGAGAGCGGGGAAGTCGGTGCTGATCACCCAGGAGCGAGACCCGGGAAGGAAATCCCGAAGGCCCGTCTCACGCAGGGCCACATCCTTACCTTGGTGCTCTTGCGGCACTTCCTTTTCGCAGAGGGCTTAACCACCTCCCTACCCCCCTTCGATTAGGTATCTTCACAGATTCTGGGTGAGTCAGTGTTAATGTTCTATTCTCCAGGCGAGGAGGCATCCCAAGGCTTTATATTGGAAGCGAACGTTTCACCAAATGCAGAGGCCCTGGGTCCCCAGGGTACTTCCTTTCTTCTTGCCCCACGCCCCGCAGCCATTGGTTCCTAGCCAAGGTCATTCAGTGGCTGCAGAATGGGCATAAGTGCTTTCTTGAGGCAGGCAATTATTTTGTCCATCGCAGGGTGCACGCTTTCTCCGTTAAGCTGATCACTTCTCAGCCCAGCAGAATCCCATCAGAAAGAGTAGGTGAAGAGGAGTAATTCCGTCAGAATCTGTCTAAATTGTCAGTTTTAATTAGGATTTCTGAAAAATGCCAAGAAAGACTCCAATGAGAAAGTAACCAGTGTTGGAGAAATACTCAGGTTAATTTAACTGAACAAGGGTGTAAATTCCTTAGGATAGAACTAACTTGAAATGAAAAGCTGGGGGTGGGGGCCTATAGAGCGAATAGGACTTCTGGCTCAGTAAACCTGAGTGTTGTTATTTTAAACCCCCAAATCTCTACCACAGTAAACATTATCTTAACGCGTGGGATAGCTCACTATACCCATGCTAATTACAGTACTTAATTTTTCTCCTGCCACAATGATCCTTAGTTAGAAACTGTATTCAAAAGTATCAGTAAAACAAAGTTAGTGTATAATTTTTACTTGCTTCTAATTCTCCTATTCACTCTGCAGGGGCTCAGCTGACATGTTGAGGGTTACACTAGCAGTCCTATAGTGAAGAACTCCTGAACCGGAAGGATGTGCTAGAGGCAACAAGTTTTGTTTTCAGCTTGTGCCAGATTTTGCGCCCAGGGCATTCCTGTGGCTAATTCTATTACTGATTACACATCACAGGTGGTCTTTATACATCTCTAGAACTCACATTCTGTCTTAGAAACAGATCTTCACAATCATATAACCATGCTGTTACTTTTGAAGGGATATCAATGTAGTTAGAATGGCTGTGTGGAATTGAATCAAAACTAGGTGGTGCGTCTGTGACTACAGAGGTCAACGTGAAGTGAATTGCTGGAGAATTGTGGGCTATTAGACTATTAGTTTAAAGCAGATTTTATTATTTTTAAATTGAAGGTGTTCTTTCCTACCTTAATTTGTTGTATGTGCTTCCCTAAAAGCTATATAGCCCATCATGCACTGAACCATCCCCCAAATTGGGTGGGTCTCTGCTGTCGTGTCTGCTTTTAATTGGTCTAGAAGGTAAGGTCATCCTCCACAATGCCAGCAAGCAGGATCAGTTTTCTGAATGAGTGATTCGGAATTAAGGAAGTCTCCTGGTGATGGTGTCCTTATTTGTTCACATTCAGCTACTTTTATTTATGAATACTTCAGCTGGAAATGTTTTCTGACTGCTGTATTCTTTTATACAGATCAGGAGTGCTATCTCACAAGTTAGATAGGCATAGTTAAAGAATCCTTATTAAGAGTAAAATGGACCTATTTTGAGCAAGTTCTTTTTCTCATTTGTTTTAGGCTATCTTTTCCACTTTCATTTTACAAGTGAAAGTGAAAGATTTCTTTGCAGTTGACTTTGTAGCCTAGTATTTTCATTATGGAGTTTTAATTTATGTAATGTGTGAGAGTGAGAGTATCTGAATTTCTCTGGGGAAATAAGTAGCAGTATTTTAATGTTTCTGATAACTTCTGAAAACTTATTGATAATTTCTGAAAATTTATTGATCAGTGCTAAGTAAGTTTTAAGTCCTCAGCATCTACTTAAGTTCTAGATTTGTGCCCTATCCTCTGGGACAGTAATATTAAATAATAATATTTGATATCCAATGTTTCTAGAGTATAGAAAAAACTGTATGGATAGTATAAAATGGAATATTTAACATTTCTTTTTATACGTATTGATTCCTTTACTTGGAAACCCCTCCCCCCCGTCTTTTCAACAAGATTTGGCTCAAAAGTTACTTCTTCCTTCCCTGGAGAACTAACTGGTTGCTCTCTCATCTCTATTGGGATTTCATAATGCTGTCGGTCATACCTGGCAGACTAGTATTACTATAGGGAAAGGACTATACCAGTTTTTCTGTCAGAGGCTAAAATAGCATTTGACATATCACAGGGATGAAGTAATGATTGTTGAGTATGTTAGGATTCATTGTTAACTGCCAGGTACCATCCCTGGAAGGTGGATGGGATTATTTGTGTTTTAATTTTATCTAGGAGTGGGTGAAAGAAGTAGTGATTAATCTTGATGTCCACCTTCAAACTTGACCTGAGTTCCATTCCTGGTGAATTTGAAGAGGGCAGTCTCATCCAGCTTCATTGGAACTCCTTAAACAGGTCCTCCCTTTGGGCCTTTGATGACCTTATGGATATTGCCAGTGCTTAGGGCAATGGTTTTCTCTCCCAGACTTGCGACTTACATCCCCTACACTCCCCCTTCATCCCGGCCCCCGCCCCCCATCCACCCTGCCTCCTGCCCTGTTCCCTCCTGGATTCCCAGAGGAGTCATTCAGTAAGTCCCAGGGTAGGGACCAGGCATGCAATTCTTTTTTTTTTTTTTAAAGTCCTCCATGGATATTTTTTATATGCATTTGGGTTGAGACCCACTGGTCTGGCCTAATATTTCATACTAGTTCCTAGTTTTCCTCTTCAGATGTTGTAAGATAGTTGAGGTAAAACTGTTCTTAAATCTGTTGCATCAGCCTTCTTGACAATTACTACATGTTCAACAGAAATCTCTCTTTTGTTTCTTTCTTTTTTTTTTTTTTTTTGAGGAAGTTTAGCCCTGAGCTAACTACTGCCAGTCCTCCTTTTTTTGCTGAGGAAGACTGGCCCTGTGCTAACATCCATGCCCATCTTCCTCTACTTTATACGTGGGATACCTACCACAGCGTGGTGTGCCAAGCGGTGCCATATCCACACCCAGGATCCGAACTGGTGAACCCTGGGCTGCCAAGAAGCGGAACGTGCAAACTTAACCGCTGTTTCTTCTTTATTCTCATGGCTGCCACTCTGGCTCAAGCTTTCATTATCCGCCATGTGAAATATTTTGTCTTCTAGGTGGCTTTATTCTTATGCCTGCTTTCTTCCTTCCTGTCAGCCCTAATTGCTGACTGATGTAGTCTTAATACACATAACATGTTTATTATCTTTTAACAACAACAACAAGCCCTTCACAGTTCTCTGATTGCATCGTTCTCACTAGTAATTTTACCTTGCTATACTGTTTCCCTTATCTGAAATACCCTACCTTGTCCTATCTGAAGCCTTAAATTCGTAAACGCCCAGCTCCGATTCTTACACCTCTTTTTAAAATATTTATTTATTTATTTTATTTTATTTTTCCCTCTTCTCCCCAAAGCCCCCAGTACATACTTGTGTATTCTAGTTGTGGGTCCTAGTTGTGGCATGTGGGACACTGCTTCAGCATGGCCTGATGAGTGGTGCCAGATCCACCTCCAGGATCTGAACCAGCAAAACACTGGGCTGCCGAAGTAGAGTACGTGAACCCAACCACTCAGCCCCAGGGCCAGCCCCCTTACTCCCCTTTACCATACATTCTTTTTTAACTTTTGAACCCTTCTTTTCTTTTTTTCTTTTTTTTTTTTTTTGAGGAAGATTAGCCCTGAGTTAACATCTGCTGCCGATCCTCCTCTTTTTGCTGAGGAAGACTGGCCCTGAGCTAACATCCATGCCCATCTTCCTCTACTTTATATGTGGGACGCCTACCACAGCATGGCTTGCCAAGCGTGCCATGTCTGCACCAGGGATCCGAACTGGTGAACCATGGGCCGCTGAAGTGGAACATGCGCGCTTAACCGCTGTGCCACCAGGCTGGCCCCTGAACCCTTCTTATGTTCCCAAAAGCCTGGATCTTTCAGATAAATTGGTTATTTTGTTAAATTAATTGTAATTTCTGTATTTTTGTTACAACCCAAGTACACAGATTTTTAGTTTACTTTGCAGTATTAAAGGAATACAGACGATATAATGAGTAATACCACATTTTAAACACATCTAAGATGCCACTGATTATAAGAGGAACCATTATTTTCTGTCTCACAAAGAGGGAAGTGCTACCATTGAACTGTGACACGATTGCAAGACACATCACAATTTCAGATATAGTAAACTCTACATCTGTGAACTATGGTATAAGGAATACCATTTATTTCCTTACCCAGCCTAAGAAATAAAGCCAGTACAGTTGAGGCCACCTGTTTTCCCCTTCCCTGTCTTATGCTCTCTGCCATCCTGAATTTGGTGTTTATCATTTGGT